GAGAGAGAGAGAGATTAATCGTAGTTTCGTCTATGAAAATAAAGATGCGTAACACGCTGAGTATAATAATGGGACGATAAATCACGGCGAGAAGTCGGAAACGGGCAACGTGGCGCGGGGAAAGGGAGAGGAAAAAATGATCGCTCGAATTGAAAACGGTTGAAAAACGGGAAGGATGAACGATCATCTTGGCTTGGATTTCACGCTAGTGGAGAAGTTTTTTTATCCTGGCCCCACTCGTCGCGATTAATCACTTAACGGCTAATTGACGAGGGAAAAGATCAAAATCTGTCGACAAATCGAACGAAACGAAATTCGAAAAAAAAATCGGATTCTCTTCAGGGAATATCGTTAGAGGTTTAAATTTAAAACGAACGAACGATCGGAAGCAATGATTTTGAAACGACAAACATTAGCGATCGTACTTGACGGAAAAGCGGATTCGTATTCGAACAGGATGATTTTTCAACGTTTTGCCGGAGATTTCTCTCCGAATAAAATTACAACGCGTGGAGGAAGGAAAACGTAACGTTCCTCTTTAAGAGGAAGATTATACGGTTCGATTCTATACGCGTAGAAGGAACTGCGAATAATCGTAGACCGAGTGTCAATTCAATTAGCCTCGATCGTTCCGACTATTTAGATCTCTCGTGATGAAGATTCTCTAATTCAATCGCTTCGTTTCTTACTAATTAAACGAAACAACGTGTCTCTGTCTCTTCCAACTCGCAAGAAACTCGCTCGAAACGCAATGCATATTTATAAAACGTATAAGCGATTGTACGACTCTTGAGAGATATTTCTCCAATTCGTTCTCCAATGCTACGTAATTTCTTACCGATTTAAAACTTATATAAAACGTTCCGTATGTATCGAAAACGTAAATTCCGATACATTCACGTTTTTTTATTCACGAGGATTACACGTCATCGATTACACCGCGAACAACCTTTCATCCGATGAGTTTTTCCACCAATTTGTCCGCGAGCGGATACGCTCGATATTCTTGAATGGAAACTTTCTTTGATGGAGGGAAATGAAAAAACGAGAGACGAGATTGAAATAATCGGTGGAAAATAACACTCGTGAACGATTCGCTCGGGTCTTGTCCGTGGTGGCGTCTTATCGTGGCGCGATAAGGAATTCGGTGTGCGACACGGAAAAAGGGGCGACACGGAGAAAGGAAGTAAACGGCGAAGATTCGATCGATACGGGGATAAGATAACGGGGAGCGAGCAGGCCGTTTGAATAAAATACCGATTCGTTTCGCACGCGAATTCGACTCGACCGTTCGACGACGAGGGTCCGGCTCGTAAATTCGATCGATTCGAACGAAACGCGGCACGATCGAAACGAGTCGAAACGTAACGCAACGTAACGTAACGCGGGACGGTGTGTGTGCGTTCTCGCGTGTACCGTTTTTCAATCACGAATCTCTTCCATACGTTTCGCGCGACGTATATCCGTCGATGTATATCCGCGGTCGATATGGCTCCGTGACCTACGTTCACGTGCAAATATTTCGCGCGAACACGCGGAGGAAAAGAAGAGGAAGGTGGAAGGAAGTGGAAGGAGCCCCGAGTGCTGCGTTCGAGTGCCGGTTGGCGATAACTTAAAGGTTCGCAAGGGCGAATCGATTCGATACACGGGAAAAATGAAGTCGAGGGGGGAGGGAGAAGAAAGAACGGAGCAAGAACGGGTTACGTACGGATAACGGTGTACCGGACAAATATAAGTTTGTTGCTCGACCAAACTTTTTTTATCCTCTCTCTTTTTCTCTTTCCTTTCCGTACTCCCGAAGGGGAAACACCGAGAGCGAAGAGACGAGCACAAGTAACAACGCACACCTCGAGGTGGCAAAAGACCGACTGAAAAGCACGCGAGGGAGGGCAGCTTACCCGTTTTGGTGGGGATACGGCATTTCCCATGCGGCACCGCAACACGAGCCTGAGAGAAGCGTGCACTGCGAGAGGAAGGGAGAAGGGGGGAGGGAGGAGAAGGAGTGTGTGGGGAAGCGGGGGTGGGGGGGGGGTTGAAGCACGAGCGGTGGTGGGGAGATGCGAGAGAAGAGGGGGTACTCGTGTCGCGCGATAACCGTCGTCGAGGTGCAAACCAGCCGCGAATTCGAAAGGCGGCCAGTTGCTGTTCGCGCGTCGTATGCGTCGCGTCACGGGTGTCGCGCGTAACCGAGATACCGAGGTAAAGTAAACGCGTACGCGTAGTATCATCTTTATTACGTAGCACATTGCAACGTAGTCTCTCGTAGTTTCTCCCTACTCTCCTCCCCCGTCATTCCCTCTCCAATCATTCTACGCGATTAATCGCGAGGGAACAAAGTGTACGCTCCTTTCTTCTTGCGTTCTTTCGAATCGTGGATCGAAGGATAAAAGGAAGGCGGGAAGAAACGCGGGATAGGATAAAAAAAATAAAGGAGAGGAAGGACAAAAAATCTGTTTCGTTCGAGAAAGTGCGAGAATACACTCGCTCGGTGTAGGAGCGAAAAGTTCACACTAGAAGCGAAGATCGCGCTATGTAAAAGGTTACGGAGGCGTGGATCGCGCGCAACTTGGTTCGTTCCTCCTTCCTTCTCTCGATCTTCGAGAGTGGAACGAGACGCACGACCTTCTCCATCGACGACGATCCGTGCGAAACATCCTCGAAAGACGATTGCATAACTATGCCCCCCGTGACTGACAACGACGTGCCGTGCAAACAACGACGATGACGTTAAAGACGATCGCGTCGCGAAATCCCGCGATGGATTTTTCCGCGGCTGATGCGAACAGTGGGTGTGACTGCGTCCGATATCGCGTTAGAAGCGAGTCACCCCGCGTTATCACGACCGGAGACCGGAGAGATCGGGCGAAAATATATCCGATCGCGGATGGAACGGTAACGCATCGTTTCCCACGTGGCACGTATACTTGCGTGTGGGCGCGCGCGTGTCAGTGTTGTACGCGTGTCGATTCGATTCAATTTCGTTCGCGATTTTCCTCGTCTTCGATCGTCGTTTCAATAAATTTACGCTCGTTCGCTACTTCGTGGAACGAACGACTTGGTACGTACGAGGAACGACTCGATGGCATTGGCAGCCCCAAATAGAGAGTAGCTCGATAATTACGACGTATCGTAATTGTTTCACACCAGACGCGTCGAGCGGCGCGCAGCTGTCGATTCATGGAGATATTCTTTTTTCTCCTCGCAGCTGCAGCTGTACACATACGCGCGCAATACACGTTTCGCGTTATCGAAACGATGACTTTACACACGCGTAATGTCGTCGATTCTCGACGAGATATTTGCCGAAAAAGAAAATTTCTCTCTCTCTCTCTCTCTTCGCTTTTTCTTTTCCCATTCTTTTCCCGAAAAATTGGTGACGCGCTGTCGAATCTCATCGAGCGGAGCGTATTCGCGCGGTAAATCGGACTTGGCCCGATGCAACGCGCTTTATCGCGCGTAACGATTCGCGTAAGCGCATAATTTCTCTTCGAAGGTTCGGTCGCAACGCGTGGATAAAAATAACGATCGTTCCCCATCCCCCTCTATCCACTTTTATTCTTCTTCCTCGTCTTTATCTCTCTTGGTAAATTATAGTTCGTGCCTTTTTTAAACGGGAAAATCCGCGAGAGACGCGTTCGCGTATAACAATCGAAAATAAAACGAGATCAAAAGGAGGAGAGTGGACAGTGGTAGGAGAGGAGCGATAACAATCGCGCTACTTATCGAGGGAATTAATGTATCGGATATATATATATATATATATATATATAGTGGAGCATCAACGTTTCACGAATCACGGACGATATCATCTGGCTCGATGATATCGGGATAACGGGAATACGAATCAATCGGTCGTCGACAATTTCCTCGTCGGATAGAAAGGAGGGAGAAGAGGGAATCGCAACCCCGCGATATCAAGCCCGAATAAGGGTAACGCGAGCATCCATCCCCGGCCCGAACGATTAATCGAACCTGTTCGATCGTATATCTGGAAGGAAAGGAGAGAAGCTCGGCCGTGATTGCGGGATTACCCGTTGTCTCGGTCGGTAACGGGCACTCGCTCGACCTTCGAGATATCCGATCTTAATCCCTTTAAGGAAGACCTCCAACCCTCCTCCTCTCCGTCTCTTTCTCTTCCTCCTCTGTGGCTATCGGAATTGGCCGCGACTCCACCGATCCGTGGAACCGCGACGGAGGGTGGTCGCGTGAGCGGTCGTCGCGAGTCGAATAGCCGCTGTTCGACGATTCAACGGCGTTCCAACGAGTTCCTAGGATACGCCACGAGTTTGAAAACGAGAATATGGAAGTAAATCGGCCGTCTCCTCTCCTCTCCTTTCTTCCGCACGCCAATTTTCTCTCTGGACCACAAGCATCGATTCGTCCCTTCGCCTCCGCTTTTCTCATTACCTACGTCTCCTCGCTACCTTTTCCACCCGTGTCTCGCGTTCGTACACTCGCGGCCGTCGTTATTCCGACTGTGTGTGCGCGCGCGCGCGCGTGTGGACAATTAATCGCTCACGCTCGATCGCGTTCGCCGACTAGAAGGGAAAAATCGGAATTCCGTGCGGAAATACGATGCACAAAGAAGCGTATCGATTCGAAGGGAAAACCGGTTGCGCGGCCGCTCGTTACCGGTCGTTGTACGCGATCGTTCCGCGTTTTTACCCGAGTGGCAAACCGTCCAAGTATCCCCGATCGGGTGTGTAAGAAGCGTGGATTATCTCCAACCCTTCGTGCGAAAGAATCCGCGACAATTACTTCCTTATCCTTATCGTATCCGCTCCTCGAAACAACCAAAATTGGAACGACCATTCGAAAACGACCATCGTTTTCCATCCAACAGGCAAAGCGTCTCGCGCTTTTAAACGCTTACTCCTCCCCTCCCTGCGCGCGAACGTAATTACGTTTATTGGCAGCGAGGACGAGGACGAGATTAACGAAGATCGCGCGTCCGAGCGCGTAATGACGCGTTAAAAAACCCTTTTAATTCGGAGAAGCGAGCCCCGTGCTCGTTAAATTAATCAACAAGTCGAGCGGTCGTTTTTTTCTTTTTTTCTTTCTTTTTTTTTTTTTTTTGTTTGATATCGGCGTGGCCGATATGGTAGAGGAGGGGAGGAAGGGGGAAAGGAGCGGAAGAAATTAAGAGCGGAGGAAAAATTCTTCTCCGGCCTTTTCGAATCGGACCCACCTCGCCTTTCATTCGCGCCACCACTCTTTTCACGGCCATTCACGCGCTCTTTCCTCTCGTACTCTCCCCGCCTTTGTACTCCGACCTCGCCCTGATGGAAACTTAATTCGTTAAAAAAAAATTCGTCTCCGCGTAGAACCAACCTTCTTCCCCGGTTTCGCGCCAATTAACGCTTCTCCCTCCCTCTCCCCTCCTCTCCCCGCAAACGATTTCTCTTTTCGTTTCGGTTGGAACGGTGGAAAGGCAGGTGGACACGCGGTGCTCGTGGAAAAGACACGTGGCGCGAAATTATACATACGGTTCACTACGTCCCATCGGTGGAGAGAGGAAACATCGGCGTTTCACCATCGTAAAATCGCGTTTAAATAATCGCTCCGATTCCTCCTCCTCCTCCTCCTCCTCTCCCTCCCCTTCGTTTCGAGGGATCGAAAGATTAGTTTGACGATTGAATCGGTGATGAAATTGTTGTATACACAAGTGCTCTACAATTCGAGAATTTTTAAATCGACTTTTTGATTCGCGTTAAAACGAATACCCGATCATCATCGGCGAGAATACGTTTCGCGCGAGGGCATCCAATTCCCTCCAGTATCCCCTCCGTAAAATTACTAGGAGTTATCTTGAAAACTTTCGTTTCGGATAACGTAACGTAATTTCTTCGAACGAAACTAAAAAGCCGCGATGTATCACGACCTCCCCTCCCCCCCCTCCACTCTCTCTCTCTCTCTCTGTTTCTCGGTCGGGTAAATGGAATTCAGGTTACATCGAGTGAAAAAAAGTTTCACTCCGCGATAACGAGTGAGAATACTTAAACGACCCCCCTCCCTCCACCTCCCCCCCCCCTCCCCTTCTCGAAAGTGGATTCCGCGTGATACGCAGGCTGATAAACAAGCCGATATTCCTAGATACCGGCTAGATGTCTCGGTGTCACGACTCGATCCACGCGATTACGCAACGTTGGAACGATAGCAATTACGCGCGCGTTTATATCGTATTATTATTTTACGCGAACGCTCGAGGAAATATTTCGGTTGGGGAGCGTGCGGTTCGTCGAGGTCTCTCCGTATCCAAGGTGGTGGAAGGTAGAAGTTACGAGGCAACTCTGTGCGTAATCGCGTTCCCGAGGGGCAAAGCGTTTAACTCGGCGTGCGTGCGTGCGTGTGTGTCGGCTCGGTGCACGCGTGTCGCGTGCTTTTGCAACAAGAAAACCCGCCAGCGGCCAACTTGCGCCGCAGCTGCGCGCAAGAGGAAGAATAGCGTACCTCGCGTTTTCATATGTAAATCACCACGGCTGAATTTGATAATACTTCCTTTTCAACGGGTACGGATTTAAATTTCGAAAAGGTCGCTAAATTCTCTCGCACGTTCTCTTCCCTCCTTTCTCCTCTTCCTCCTTTCTTCTTTCCTCACCATCGAAGATCCCTTCCTTTTTTTTTTTTATTTCCTTTTAGAAAATTTCGCGTATCTTCCGTTTCGAACGATTCGACGATTCGTGGCTGGCGCGACAGAGTGTCCGATAACGCTGTTCGTAATTAATCACGCGAGAGTACACAGTGAGAAAGAAAGAAAGAAAGAAAGAAAAGCTGAGAGAGAGAGAGAGAGCAGGTTTTATCGCGCGGTACGCCTCTATCTGTGATTCACCGTCGTTGTTCTATCGTTACGTTCTCGGCCGAGAGAAGGTCGAGCAAAGAGCAAAACGAAAAAAAACTCTCTCTCTCTCTCTCTCTTTCTACTCGTACGATCCAATTTGTCGCTGCGAAGGAAACAAATTCGGTGGAAACGAAGGAAAAAGACGCGAAAGGGAGAGGAGAGAGTTTGACCGATTTTTGTATTATCGTTGTTTTACAGCAGCAGGAAGTTCGAAACAACTCGTCGAGCGGGAAATCCGAGTGGAAACGAAACACATCGGTCGTGATGGTCAACGATGTCGCACCGTGTCACGGATGTAATTGGACGTTTCCGGTCGAACGAAGGAAAATAACGACGGCGACGAGGGGGATGACTTGGTAGTCGAATCGGTGGAATCGTCATCTCGCGACGTCATCTCGAATGACGAGCGGTGAAACGGCTTGGGAGGAAGAAAAGTGGTTGATCCCGGTGGCAATATGACCGACAGAATTACATAGTGGCGCGTGGCGTGCCACGGGACTCTTGAGCGCGTACTCTTCTTCGATCACGTGGATTTCGCAACGCCTGGATCGAAAATATATCGTCGAGGACGCGGATATGTCGAGACGCGGGCATTCGGGTCGTCGACTCGACGTGAAATCAGCTGATATCGACTCCACAGTGTGAAGAAGAAGAAGAAGAAGAAGAAGAAGAAGAAGAAGAAGAAGAAGACGACGAGACGAGAAGAGAGGGAGAGAGGGGGGGAGGGGGATAGATCGAGAAAAATGGAAGCAAGGAGACTGGTGTTGGGAAGCGCTATCCTCGGACTTTTTTGGAGCGGATTGTTCAAGGGCGCCCTGACCAATTCGACCAACAGATGCGACTATCCTCCCTGCTCCTGCGACTCTCACGGCAGGCTGACCTGCGACTGTAAAGAGGAAGGAGAGGTATGTTCGTACGTAGACGTAGCCGAGAAACGTCCCGCGTTTTCTTAGCGAACGGAGAATAAATAAAAAGGAATGGGACGATTCTCGTATCACAGTTCCCGAGAAACTTTTCCTTCTGCCCATCATCCCGTTTCGACTCTCCGATACCTTCTTCGTTTCGCCTCCATTTCGCGGCCCAGAAGACCCGTCCTCTCCCTCCTGCTTCCTTCTCTTTCGAATCTCTTACCTCGCTCCCCTTTTCTTTCCAACGGAATCGAGGGGAGTGGATGGCGGCCATTATCATATCCATCCGAGGAAAAATTGCCACGGCTCCAAATATCTTGGAGTTTTCTCTTATCTCGCGCTTGCTTTTTAACCAACGATAACGCGTTATCCGATCGTCGAGACAAAAACGAAGAGAGGGAAGAGAGAAGTTGATCTCGAAGTAAATCGCGTGGAGAAAATCTCGATAAATTAGAGCGCGAATCCTTCGTTTCCATCCCTTTCTTAATCTTTCCTTTAATATTTATCGCCCAAGACCAGGCAACACGGGTACAACAACTCAGGCCCCGCCCGAGGAAAAATGCTACGCGAGGAGAAAAATGGCAGCCACTTTTGACGAATCTTATTAACAACTCCCTTTCAAACTTGCCTTCCTTCCTTCCTTCCTTCCTTCCTTTCTTCGCCCAATTCTTCGTCGGAATCATCCGGGGAAAATGGGGGGAAAAATTGGAACGAGAGAGAAGGAGAACGAATTGGAATGGAAAGTAAGTTTTATCGGAGTTGTCTCAAGGTCCCACCTCGAATCACCCATTATTACACTTACGAATTCCGGTTGACGAGCAAGTTTCGTTTATCGCGAGCGAGTTGGAGGCATCTCGGTGTCGTTACGGGGGCCGAGATAAAGCCGAGTTCTTTGTCCCGGAGGACAGGTCGCCGCCTATTTTTCCGAGCAGTTACGTCGTAAAACGAGGCGCTCGTTGTTGCGAAATTCGAATTTCGATCCAAGTTGGGACGATTATTTAAAGCGATTTCGAAAGGTGAAAAATCCTTCGTTGACCGCGACTCGCGTAGGCGCCTCGTGTCGCGTGCGCGGATAAAGGAAGTGGTCGATCGTGGGTCGGATAAATTACGGATCGAATATCATCGGCGTGATCGAAGATCCCGCGGTCTGCACGAAGTAGAAGGAGGAGGAGGAGGAGGAGGATAGCTACCGGATCGCGATCCATTTTCCATCGTCTCGTACGCATAATATATACGTACATCATATACATATACGTACGATGAATCGTACGCAACGCGTTGTTACCAGAGACCAATTACCACGGCCGAATTCCAACAGAACACGAATCGAATAGCGAGGGAAGGTGGCTGCCACTTTTTCGCGCGCCGTCTGTCAAACGGGTGAAAAGATATTCGCGGAACGATACGACGCGTATTTTTCCCTGGGAAGAGAACTCGTTTTCGAGGGAAAACCTTAGCTAACAACGAGGACAAAGAAGAAGAGGGAGGAGGAGGAGGAGGAGGAGGAGGAGGTGGCGTAGCAAAGGAGGTGAAGAAGGAAAGGAAAAAAGAAAAAAAAACAGAGAGCGAGAAAAAGAGGCTGAAAGTTCTATAACGTATATAGCGAGTTCTGCCGTGGATTTCGCATAATACAGCCGGCATTTCACGAACACGCTCAGCCAATTTGTCGCGCCGTCAACTCGTGACTACGAATATATCGAGAGAGACTGGACGTCTTTCTCTCCTTCTCCGATCCCCGACAAAGTTCGAACCCTACGCTCTCCGCCTCCCTCCTCCTCTTTATCCCTCTTTTCCATTCTCAACGAGGATTTCATCCAAGTTTCTTATTCCGATCTATTATCCGCTTCGTGGCAACGAGACGACGTAATACGTAAAATCGTTATTACGTCGGCGCGCTTATTTACGCGAGAAAAATAAAAAAGAGAAAGAAAGAAACGAAATTTCAATCTTCTTTTTCATCCCTCTTAATCCCGATACGCGCGTATTTATTTATTTATTTCTCTTTCGAAACGCAGCATCGATGCGTTTCACCATCCCATTCTCCGAGCAAACGTTTCGAACGCCGAACAGTCAACGCGAGAGCAAAGTTGTCAAGCGCGCCGGCATCCCTTGAATAATTGACGTTACTCTTGAATAATTGAGCGAACCTTTTAGCGGATACAGCCTTAAACCCGGCTCAGTTTCCCATAACGCGGAAGGAAGGCAAAAAAGATAAAAAAAAAAAAAAGAAAATAAAGAACGCGGCTGGACTGTTTGCGGCCAAAGTCCAACGGTTATAAAATATCGCCATTTACGAACGGTGGAAATTAATGGTTCGAAGCATACGATAAATACGTTTTTCGCCGAAAAACGACTCGTTCGCATCTTGTTCGTTCATTATCGTTCATTACTACGCTTTTCGATGGAAAAATGCGAAATACGCGTGGACGATTACGAGTGTCTTTTCTATCGACGTGCATTAAAAAAGAAAGGAACGCGTATAAAAAGTAAAATTCTTCCCCTTCGCCTTCCTTTTTCTCACCGTCTCAAGTTTCGATTCACGAAAGTTTTAAATAATCGTTCCCTTCGAATACTCGTTTCGTTAACGTCTCGTAATCGATGCGCATCCTAATTAAAATCACGCTTTATCGAAATACCCCCAAAGGGTATAACGCGTCGTATCAACGAATCCATCCTCGATTTTTTCCCTCGCTACGAATCAATTGGAAGAAAATTCGCGTTTCACCGCCTCGCGTTCACCGTGGAAGAGATCGTCGTCGATCGAGTCCCAAGTGGGGCGCGCTCGCCTCCCTTTTTCTCATACTCGAAAACGACGAGAATGGCGAAAAGTATCGATGGATTAGTCGCGTTTCGACCGATCGGTCTTTCCTATCCCGAGGGAGGATAAATAACTTATTCGAAGGAATAAAATTCGGATTCCTTTGCTCGATCGAGACAGCGAAGAATATTCGGCGATCCGAACGCGATGACGAACGAAAACGAGGGAGGGAAAAAAAAGGAGACGGAGAGATGAAGAGAGAGAGAGAGAGAGAGAGAGCATCGAGGAAACGAAAACGAAAAGGTTGGATGCACAATCGTCGGTGGAGGTGAAAAACGGTGTAGACGCGAAGACAAGTATTTCGGGTGTGGTAATCTTTTCTATGGGCGGGAAGAGAGAGAGAGAGAGATCGTGTGTCGGGAATCGAGCAAGAACAATGAGACGGGAACAAAGGTCGGGACAGACAGGAAGGGACGCGAGGAGAGAGATCGTGTTTTGGGGGCGAGAGAAACGCGCGAGCTGGTACCCGAGAAGAAAAAAGGGGCACAAAGGTGGTTTCGCTTTTATCGGCCCTTCTTTATTCACCACGCACGCACCCCTTCCTTCCATCCTTCCTTCCTTCCTTCCTTCGCGGCCAATCTCCAAACTCCTTCGCTCGTTTCAAACGCGTACCGTATTCAATAACGCTCACGATTCTCGTCGCAATGCTCCTCTATTCTCCGAAATAAAAAAATTTTTTACTCATCGAAATTATTTTAACGCGTTGGTTCGTCGCGTTTATTTACTCCACGTTTAGATCGAGTATCGAAGAATAACATGCGCGGAGCAAGAGCGACGCATTTTCCACGTATCGCTCTCGTTATCGGGTGTTCGTTAACGAGAAAGAGAGAGAGAGAGAGAACGCGATAACCTCGTGAAACGTATTTGCGCGGACGATATCTCGATCGTGTCTATCGTTGGTAGGAGGCAGGTATGCGGTTGGCATTTCGCCATCGATTGTTTAACAAACGACAAAAGGAGCCGCCGAGCGATAGGTGGCATCCCTCTCATCCTTCTTCGCCACAGTTGATTAATACGAAAAAAAAAGAAAAAACGAGTAACGAACTTCTCTCTTCTTTCTTTCGACTCGAATTCGTCGTTAACGAGTCGTGCCGTGGCAAACTTGGAAAAACGCCTCGAAAAGGGTCGAGGAAAGACCTTTTTTCGCATCTCGTCTCGTGCCTCGTTTCGAAGGATCGAAATTTCTTTACCTTTACCTTTCGTCGGATCTAACGACGAACTGATCGAGAGGAGGAGGAGGAAGAAGAAGAAGAAGAAGAAGAAAGAAAAGTCGCGATATCGGGCTGGTTAACAGCCGGTAAGAGGAGGACGCGAGAGGTGTTCTTCGACGCGAATAAGGCGATTAGATCGTGCAATTACGGTTATTCGACCTTTCGTTAAGCGAGCCGCGTCGAATCGGTGCGCCTTCCCTCCCTCTCTATCCCCCCTCCCCTTACCACCTTGTTTCAACAACGCGTCTCATCTCAACTCGGTCTGATTTCAGGAGCTGGTGTTAACCACGGACGGGGACAAAAGGTTGAGCCCGCACACGAGCAGGATAGCGGTGAGCAATTGCTCGTCCGTGATCCTGGCCAACTCGAGCCTTGCCTCGATGGTCGGTCTGCGCGCCATCGACCTGATCAACGTGGCGAATCTGACCCTGGTCAGGCAGAGTTTCGAGCTCTCCCCTCAAAGCACGCGCACGTGGATCTCGGTGAGGAACTGCAGCATCGACACGATGCCAAGCTTCGTGTTTCGGGGCGACGTGGAGGCGATCATCCTGGAGAACGTGAGGATCGGCCAGTTGAGCGCGTTCTCGTTCGCAAATCTGGTGCACACGGAGAAGCTGAGGCTGGAGAATTGCCGCATCGAGAGCATAGAGGCGCAAGCGTTCAAGAAATTCGACGTGGGCCACTTGCGCGTGATCGGTACAAGGTTCGGGGATCAGGTGCCGAGCAGGACGATGAACGACATCGAGGTTTATCACACGTTCATGTTGGACGGTGTGAGAATGGGGACGGTGAGAAGCGAGGCGTTCATCGTGAGAAGCCCGCGGACAGTTGCGATACAAAATTGCGTGGTTGAGAGTTTAGAGAGCGAGGCGTTCGACGTGACCGCGAGGGGGCCGGTGATCGTGAAGAACAACACTTTCGGTAGCCTGTCGATGGGCGCTTTCCTCGGTGTACGAGCGGACGCCGAAGCGAGGACACCGCCCGCCGCCTCGCTCCACGACCTTATCTTCAAGAACAACAGCGTGGTCAACTTCGAGGAGGGTTCGATCATGTTCGACCGGAATAGTTTTCGCCTCGAGCTCGACAACCTGTTGGTCGGTCGATCGTGCGACTGTCGCATGTTGCCCGTGTGGAAGAACAATATTCTCAATTACACCAACCTATACTCCAGGTTTTCGGTCAAACAAAATACCGCCGCCTCCTCCCTCGCGTCGGCTAGCCAAGACGCCCTCCCGATCAACGAAACCCCGGAGACGTTCCTCTGCTACGACGGCGAAACGTCGAACGGGGTGGCGATCAGTTTCGTCGAGTACGAGGCGCGACACTGCTCCCTAGGCGGATCCATACTGGTGTTCGTCCTGCTCATCGCCGCCCTCCTCCTCCTATCGATACTGATCGCCTGCCTGATCGTGTGGTGCTGCAGGAGACGGCGTAGAAACAGCAGGAAAAAGTGGATCAGCGTGCCGATGAACGCGCCCGACGTCGTGTCGAAGAAGAACGGGGTGATCGGTAGGGAGGCGGCCACCTCGGCCACGCCGGTCGACAGCCGGATAACCATGGTCGTCCCGGACGGAAGGCTCTACAGGGAGACCGAGTTTCACGTGATCGTGGAGAAGGCCGAACCGTTGACCACGGAATTGTAACGAGAGGCTTGGAACGGCTCGACCAGGAGGGAACCGATGCCTCGAATCGAGGAACAATTCGACCGGTCCTCGAGCCGTTTTCGCGTCTACAAGTTGTGAATTGCACACGAACCGACCATACACGATTGTTGCTACATGTGCGCGTAGATTCCATCCAGATTGGATCGGACCAATTCGCGGTACGCTCGGTTTAAACTTCGATGCGCCTATCCATCTACGAGCGACGACTACTCTTTTCCAGAGTAGAAAGAAACTTTGCCTCGACAAAATTTTTCACCCTCGCTTCCGCGCTGACGAAGAGACGCTGATAAGAACGGGGGGAGAGATCACGATTCTCTCTCTCTCTCTCTCTCTCTCTCTTGTTTTCAATTTAATTCCTTCTAGTACAAGACAGTTCGTAAGCTTCCATTTACATATCAAGAACGAGCATCGATTATCCATCCAACCCCTTCCCCCCCCCCCCGTCGTTTTTCCTTTCTTCTCTTCTTTTCATCTTTTTTTTTCGACCGCGGTCACCGTCGATTATTCGAACACTTCTCGGTAATCGAAGAGAGTTTTCCTTTCCTCTCGTTTTTTTTCACGAGATCGCGTTGATGGATGATCGATGCGCGTTGTTAGTTAAGTTTAAGCGCGTTAGTTAAGTAGCTTCCAAAAAAAAAATGTAAAAAAAAAGGAAAGGAAAAGAAAAGAGGGCCAGTGTCGTTTCGCTTTCCAAGATGGAAGCGAGGCGACGGAGGAAGACGGGGAACGACGGAGATGACGACGACGACGACGACGACGACGATGAAAGAAGAGGCGAGAGCCGAGGAGTACAAAGGGGAGTGAGTGAGTGATCGAAACTGATAACGGACTCGGTCGACGTCGCGTTCGAGATTTTCTTATCGCCGCCGACTCTTCTATCGATCGAACGAGTGGGAAAAATGCGACGATCGCACGTTCGATCGACCAATGATTCCAGGTGGTACATTCGCGTGTTCGAAAAGCGAAGCGAGAAGAAGCGAAAGAGGGCGAATTATTCGTAAGAAGAAAATTATTTCGAAGCGAAAATTGTTCACTCCCTACCGCCCACTTTCATCGAGAATCCCTGTATTATATTCCTCCTATTCCAATTCTAACCGCGTTTCTAATCGTGCTTGTAACACAATAAAAACAGATATTACCTGACATCCCTTGACAATACGAGATAAGAAGAGTATCGATGCGAATATATCTGAAATTATTATTATTATATACGCCGGGCTGGCGTGGAGAAGGACGAGAACGATAACCAATGAAATCAACGTTACACGCAAATTTGTATTCCGAACCGAGCGTGACAACTCACCGATTGTTCTTCTCGGAGTGTTCAAACTCTTTCTCCTTAATTTATTGTATTATTTCACTACGATTTCATGTTTATTTATGAGCTCTGGACTTTGGCCAATAAATTGTTGTTACTGTTATCATTCCGATCGGTATCTAATTTTGACAAATGCGCTTCGAGGGATTTTCCCCTCGACGAGCGTAATCGATTCGCCACGAGGGAAACCGCGTTCGCGTTTACGAATTCGGCCGGTAATCTCGAAAACGGGGAGGTCCTCTCTCTCTCTCTCTCCATCTCTCTTTCGGAGTAATACGCGCGCATACGGTTTAGCGTAAAACCGCAACCGACTGCCGCCACTCGAGTATCGTTCCGCCGTTTCGAGCTGCTTACGGTGATTAATAGACCCGATATAATTCGTCCTCCTCTCCGTTTCATCAAGGTAAGCCATCGAGATATTTTACCCGTCCAACGAATCGAGTGAAAGGAAACCTGAAAGGAATTCGAGAAACGAGGAAACGTTGCCGGAGAAACGTTGAGCAACAACGACGAGGACGACAACAGATTCGAAGCCGTTTTTTTTTAAAGCGGCAATGAGACCGTGCCGTGACCGACCGTTTCGTGTTAACCGTGCATTATTGATACATTTCGATCGTGCGGCATCGTTTCGTTTTATCCCCGAAGAGCGAAGAGCAGAGATCGATGTTTCTCCCGAGATCGTTCAACGAGACCCTTCCCTCGAAACTTGAAACCTCGAATTTTATCGAGGCACGCCCAATTAGAGATCGCGCGTGAAAAAGTGGGTGGCATCTTTCGTCTAACGGCATCTCGCGTCTATAAATCCGTGTGACAAACACGCGCGCGTCTACGATTATCGTGCTTGTGCGTCGGGAAATTAAGCTTTTCTAAGGACGTTTTAGTTGTAATTATCGTCAGACTGTGATATAACGACAGCCGATTGTATAATTTATTTTACATTGAAAGATGATACCAGCGAGATAAAAAAAAAAAAAGATAATAAAGAAGCAAGTTGATGCATAGTACACGACGACCACTAGATACCCGATCGATATTCCCAAAATACCACCTTTCATACCTTTCACCTTCTTCAATAAACCGCCTCTTTTTTCCTCTCTTACTTAATGAATATGAATACACGCGTCGTATTCACGT